TCTCCAGAAAGTAGGATTTTTATTGGGGTTAATCCACATATTAAGTGGTATATGAATGTTAAGTAAATTAATAATTGGAAAATTAGAAATGATTCCAATGTACCATAAAGATAAGTTTAGCAAACATATATAAAAATTTGGAGTGCGTTTAGGTTTTTTTTAAACTGCACGAAAGATGGTAAATAGTATATATAGTATTTAACGGAAAATTCAGCTTTTTCTTAGGGGTTAGCCCACATATTTTAAGAAAAAAATAAAAAAATGAAAATTTTGTTTTAATGCATAGATGCATCATACACCGTCATAGTATGAAAATTAAATAGGTTTGAGATCTTAAATGTTTCCGTTTCTCCAGAAAATAGGATTTTTATTGGGGTTAATCCACATATTAAGTGGTATATGAATGTTAAGTAAAGTAATCATTGGAAAATTAGAAATGATTCCAATGTACCAAAAAGATAAGTTTAGCAAACATATATAAAAATTTGGAGTGCGTTTCGGTTTTTTTAAAGAACACGAAATATTGTAAATAGCATATATAGTATTTAATGGAAAATCCACCTTTTTCATAGGGGTTAGCCCACATATTTCATGAAAATTTATAAAAAAATGAAATTTTTGTTTTAATGCATAGATGCATCATACACCGTCATAGTATGAAAATTAAATAGGTTCGAGATCATAAAGGTTTCCATTTCTCCAAAAAATAGGATTTTTATAGGGGTTAATCCACATATTAAGTGGTATATGAATGTTAAGTAAATTAATCATTGGAAAATTAGAAATGATTCCAATGTACCATAAAGATAAGTTTAGCAAACATATATAAAAATTTGGAGTGCGTTTAGGTTTTTTTTAAACTGCACGAAAGATGGTAAATCGTATATATAGTATTTAACGGAAAATTCAGCTTTTTCTTAGGGGTTAGCCCACATATTTCAAGAAAAAAATAAAAAAATGAAAATTTTGTTTTAATGCATAGATGCATCATACACCGTCATAGTATGAAAATTAAATAGGTTTGAGACCTTAAATGTTTCCGTTTCTCCAGAAAATAGGATTTTTATTGGGGTTAATCCACATATTAAGATATATATGAATGTTAAATAAATTAATCATTGGAAAACTAAGATGCCCATGTACCATAAGTTTATGTTTAGAAAACATATATGAAATTTGGAGTGCGTTTAGGTTTTTTTTAAACAACACGAAAGATGGTAAATAGTATATATAGTATTGAATGGAAAATCCAGTTTTTTCATAGGGGTTAGCCCACATATTTCAAGAAAAAATATAAAAAATGAAATTTTTGTTTTAATGCATAGATGCATCATACACCGTCATAGTATGAAAATTAAATAGGTTCGAGACCTTAAAGGTTTCC